ATGTTTCTCATACACCCCTACCAAAATTCTAAACCATAAAAACCCACAGTGCATTATGTATACTAAAGGTGTGTCTAAAAATAAGCTATTAGGAGCAATTAAGACAGCTAATAATAGACTGATTAAGGGATGGTAAACCATTCCTGACACTGCATAAGATTAAATATGCTAATCAGATTTGGGACCTAGAAAACCCAGATAAAACCAAAATAGAATAAGACTCGCCACTCAAATCCTACTTCATCATTTTGCCTTTCAAACTACATACTTGAATTTTATCAGTGTGAAGGCCTTGCCCAGGTAAGCATATTATGATATGTATGTATGATTATATGTATGTGTATATTTCAGAATTGAAATAGTATCTCTTTTAATATTTGCTGGTCTGAAATGTTGGTTTGACAAAGGATAATAGCCAAGGAAAATGACTTGAATGCTTTATATGAAGACAAGTTTAACAATGTTCCCTTCCAATGGCAAACTATCCAACCGTATTTGTAACCTATTCCGTGAACAAAGAAGATGGAGACTTCCAGAAAATTAGCCTAAACAATGTATGTAGGCCACCTTTATTTATGCTAAGAAAGACATCACATGTTCATTTGAAGAGGCATTATCCATATCCTAATGTGGTTATTCCAAATAAATTGTGCATTTGAAAAGCAAGGAAAATGCACATGACAAGCAAAGCGTCTAAGCATAATTGAAATTCACTCTAAATGCAGAAAGGGTCAGTGCCGTTTCTAAGCTGTAGACCTTGTTTGGAATTCCTATGCTCTGCCTTGTTTCTATTGCAAAATTAAACCTACTAAGGAGAATCAAAATGATTTCCTCTGTATCCATAGAATGTTTCTTCATTGTATCGTTAGTACTCCTTGAGTGTTCATTTGTGCCTTGTATTAATTATCTAAAATATTAACCTGAGCTCAAGAAAGAAAAAGTTAAGGACATAACATTTTTAATACTAATCTCAAGTGCTATATGATTCATGTCATTTTATAGCAGAATATTCTGGCCATTTTATGTGGAGTAAATAATCTCTAATCAGACCTTATAAAAAATAATGTTGCTGCCAGATGATCTGGTGTGCCCCAAGATTTTTATGACAATATACATTTTCTCTGCAGGATTTCTTTCATCACTTAGGATTCAGAGAGATCCTCATTTTCTCATTAAGAATTTAACTATTAGCCGGGCGGTGGTGGCGCACGCCTTTAATCCCAGCACTCGGGAGGCAGAGCCAGGCGGATCTCTGTGAGTTCGAGGCCAGCCTGGGCTACCAAGTGAGTTCCAGGAGAGGCGCAAAGCTACACAGAGAAACCCTGTCTCGAAAAACAAAAAAAAAAAGAATTTAACTATTAATCCTGGCAATGGTGATACATATCTTTAGTCTGAGAACAAGGCAGAGGCAGATGGATCTCTGTGAGTTCGAGGTCAGCCTGGTCTACAGAGTGAGTTCCAGGACAGCCAGAGCTACACAGAGAAGCCTTGTCTCAAAAAACAAAAACAAAACAAAAAAGAATTTAACTATCAGATAATTTTTAAACTCCATTTCCTCTCTGAGAATTTTAACCTCATTTCTCCTAGTATAAGTTTATAATACCAAATAAGTAGACTAGACCCTTTTATTTGGAAATTAAGCTAAAAAATAAATCTCTACCATCTGTCCTTATTTGTCCTTTCTAGCAGTTGACCTTTATATTAATTTTAATAGAAAGCCTTTTCATTATTCAGTAAGTTTTTAGTAACCTGGGAATGAACTTAGAATTAGGATGCTCATAAAATAGTGTTGGCTTCTTTCTCTTTTGGGGAAAAGTTGTTCAATTCCTAAGTTTGCAGATTTCTTTCAAATGATACAATAGACATGTAACTTTGGTGGATGGGCTTCTAAGCTCTTTCATAAAGTGGACTTTGTTCACAGTCTGGTTTTTGATTATTTTTGCAAAGTGCAGAATAAGAGTTCTGAATGTGATTTGATTTGTGAAATGCGTGTGTGTTGTCAAATGTGCACTGATATTCCTATGAGAATTGCCAGACTTCAGTGAATCTGAGGTGGAATGTTAGCACTGATTATTTGTCTAATATAAACGGTCCTAAATTAATCAAGTAATCAAGTAACCCAGCAAATTAATCAATCCTAAGCAACTTTTTATTTCCCTTCACCATTGGCCAGATTGCAATTTTCAAACGCTATTAATTTAGTGTTCGTGTGCGTGCGTATGTGTGCACTCACACCCCCCCCCATAGCAGTATATGGAGGTCAGAAAACGTATGGAAGTCTGTTCTCTTATTCCGCCACGTGGGTTCAGGGCTCAAACTCAGGTCATCAGGCTCTGCAGAAACCCTTTACACACTGAGCCTTCCTGCAGGTCAATTTGCAAACAAACAAATAAACAAAAGGTATGCAGAAAGTACCAAGCATATAACTTTTTAAAAACACCTTCTTCTTGCTTATAAACAAATATATTAGTTTGGATTATATTGCAGAACATTATTAATGGACAAACTGAACATAGAAAACATTTTAAGTGGTAATTCCAAATTTATCAGCAATTTCTCTATTAGGACTTTTAGTTCAAGCCTCTTTGGGGCACTTTTATATTTCTTACATTAATACTCTTACCAAAATATTTATTTTGGTGTGAGAAATAATTTCAAGGTACCTAACATTAAAATTATGAACAAGCAATGAGGTATGATATTGCTCACAGTTATTTAAATATTGTTTACAATATTGGGCTCAATAAGTACCGGGCAATATTATTGCCATTAAAGCACTTTAAATAACAATTCATCGTGTTCATAAAAAAGACTTGTATATGTAATATTAAGTCACAGACACTTCTTAGCTTCCAATAAGCAAAGCAGGGCTTTGTGAAGATAGCTTGGTACTTATTAATAGTCTGTGAGATTTTTATTACTGTTTAGAATTGATCAGTGTGGTTATAAATCAACATTCCTTGAGTCTCAGGCAGGAATACAAGGAGATGCTGCAGGGTTTTGCACTGAGCAATCCAAACACTTCCACTGTGTTGTAATCCCCCATGCACTCACCAACAATTTCAGCTCCTGCAGGCAGTTAGGTTTAAAGCACAGGAACCCTTGACTCTGTGAAGCTGAATGTCAACACAATGTCACAGGAAATGCAAGCAATCAAAAAGTCAACATGATTTGTCTTCTTAACTCCAGCAGCCCTGGCCTGCTAATTTGACTTGCTAGATTTTTGTCACAAGTCATGGTTAGCAGGAGGTGAAAGGATATTGGGTAGGTAACACCTGAGATTAGAACACGGTTTGGGTACAGCCTGTGAACATCCCCGGGACTACTGAGGGGGGAATTTAATTATCTGTCACTGAGTCTTCTTCCTAGAAACTTGTTGATACAGGAAGAAATAGAGCCTGCTGTTAAACCAAAACAACATTGAGAAATATATAAGCTTTAGTGTGCAAGGATAGGCAGAAGGGACAAAGGGTAGAACACAGCAGAGCTGAATCCATGGCAGGTATCCTCAGGACTTCCAGACACTGACATCTTAACGCTGCCAAGATTCTCTGGATAGAGTTCCACTCACCTGGTCCAATTTTATCTTTTGTCTTTTAATCTCACAGTTTTTTATTGATTCTTTGGGAATTTCACATTGTGTACTCCAATCCCATTCATTCCCCAGTCCTTCTGTGTCTGTTCTCCACCCTTGTAGTAGCCTCCCTGACAAAAGAAACAGAAACAAAACAAAACAAAAAAGTCTACTCCTCCATCTTACCCACCTCTCCACCACATACTCATTTGTCATAGAGGCATTGCAAGCTGCAGTGTGTCACTCAATATACTCTTTTGCCCAGGCAGCTGTACTTGCAAATGTTCATTGAAATGAGTTGTTGGTCTGGTTCAAAGCCTCTGGCCTCTGCTTCATGATCAATACTGGACCCTCACCAAATCTCCTCTCAGATAGCCTGCTGTTTCCCTGAGTCATGGAGATCCTGTGGCTATGGTTCTATAGGACTGGTCCCTTCACATACTGCAGCGGGTCATAGATGGGGTAGATGTTGGGGTGGGCCAACTCAAAACCCTGGAATCAAAAGCCTTAGGACATGTGGAGCAGAAGAATGGGTGCGTATTAAAAATGCATATGCTTGGATCCTAAATCTTGAAGATAGGACTGTAAATCTACATATTTATTATGTTACTCAGATCAAATGCATTCAAATTGGACTTTTCAGGATTTGTTTTACATGTATGGGTTAAAAAAAAAATAGTACCGTTTCCTGGAAAAATAGCTCACTCAGTAAAGTGCTTTTCACAAAATCATGAGAACCTTCGCTTGAGTTCCCCAAATCCACAGAAAACCCAGGAGTGACAGACAGCATGTGTCTTTTATTCCAGTGCTGGGAAAATGGAGTCAGGATTCTTGGAGCCCTTTGGCCTTCTAGCCTAGGCAGATCAATGAGCTCCAGGTTCTTCAAGATACTTCCAGCCTACTCAGATCAATGAGCTCTGGGTTCTTCAAGATATTAAGATGGAGCATGACTTAGGGTTTCTATTGCTGTGATCAAACACTGTGGTCATAAGCATTTTGGGAAGAAAAGGGTTTATTTGCTCTTACAGATTGTAGTTCATCATCTAAGCCTCATAGTGAGCAGGAACCTGGATTCAGGAACTGAAGCAGAAGCCACAGAGAAGGGCTGCTTACTGTCTTGTTCTCCATGGCTTGCTCAGTCTGCTTTCTTAAAGCTCCCAGGACCACCAGCCCAGAAATGGCACCACCCACAGAGAACTGGAGCCTCCCACATCAATCATCAATCAAGAAAATGGACCACAGGCTTACCCATGATCCTCTGGTGGAAGTATTTTTCAATTGCAAGTCCCTCTTCCAAAATGACTCAAGCTTGTGTCAAGTCGATATAAAACTGGACAGCATAGACAGAAATTGAGGAAGACACATCACATCTACCATTGGCCTCTACGTGTGTGTGTGTGTGTGTGTGTGTGTGTGTGTGTGTGTGTGTGTGTGTGTGTGTATGCATGTGCACACAGAAACACAAGCACTTATCGTCTTTGTGCTAAGATCTAGAAATTGTTATATAAAACATTGATTCCTTACTGTTTTTGTAGAAAACTATAGCTGGTGTGCTTCACAAAGGGGACTGGATGATATCCTGCCTTGGAATTTGAGCTTTTAACATATGAATTTATTCCATAATTAGCCTCCTAGAATTTTAATAGTGGTAATTATCTACCCTTTGTGAATATTTCTTCTTTTATTGGTAATAAAATATTATATTTCAATGTTTCAAGAAAACGGTTCACCTTAGCAAAAAAAAAAAAATAGAAGAATTTTTAAGTAATTTGTCAGCACTGTTATACCAGTAGAAAATTTTAAGAATACCTTTCTGTTTTCTGAGCATAATGATACCATGTCTCAGTTCTGCAGTAGAGACACGGTACTAGCATTTCCTGCTTGCACTCTTCCTTATTCTTCTGTGTATTAACATAATGAGACAAAGCCCATTGGGAAAGAAGCTCATAAAATACAACACACCAGATATGATAGGACTCAGTTTATACAACAGCAGTCACTGCAACTTTTCTGAGCTCTTCCACTGATTCTTGCAACACAACAAATATTCATGAAAAATAGAAACCCAGGAAATCTGTAATGGAATGGATTCCTCAGTATATATCCTAAGGCCTAGTAGTGATACACTTTATTTGTTGATAGAACTAAATCCATATAAAAAAATAAAGTGTTTAGAACTTCTTAAATATGAAATGGGAGTCCTTAAAGATAATTAAACAGGGAAGTGGTGTGATTTAGTTTTTGTTTAAAAAAAAATCAACTGGCTTCTCGGTAAATCATAAAAGGATATGAATTTAGAAGAAAAGCATTGGAAAAGCTGTTGCAATAATGCAGATTTTAAATATTTGTTTATGTATTATACATGTGCTGCGTGTGCTCTTGGAGACAGAATAAGACAAACTTGCTGGTGAATGGGAAGAGCAGGTTAAGGAGGAGGATCTAAGACGATGCACAGAAGTTTGATTGTATCTGAGTGGATGGAGCTGCCACTGATGGAGACTAGACAGCTTCATAGGAGAAAATTGATGCACAGGTCACCAAGGACTCAGGTGGAGACATTAGTTTGAGTAAAATTCCAGCTTGATTTTCAGGAGGACACATCAACTTAACTATGTGTCCCTTCTTACCATATGAGATTAAGAAATTCAGGAGTGAAGTTATAAACTTTAGATTTGAAACAATGATGTTAAAGACATGTGGTGATATTTTATTTGTGCTGAAATGTGATGATATTTTAATTTGTGCCTGGAGATCAGAGGAAATAGAAAAACATTTTAAGTAAACAAAGAAGTCAGGCAACAAGGGTAGACACGCCCTTAATCCTATCCCTTGGCAGGCAGGATCTCTGTGTGTTCAATGCCACACTGGAAACAGAGCCAGGTGTGGTGGCACACGCCTTAAATTCCCAAACTAGTTAACCATGGAGGTCCGGAGGTCAGTACAAACAGACAGGAAGTGACAGAGCTGTGTAGGAAGAGGAAGTGATATAGCTGAACGGAAAGAGCAAATCAGATGGCAGAACCCAAGGCGTATAGATGTGGGTAGATGGGCAGTAACTCACGTTTGGAAGCTGCAGAGTTGGGTGAGGTAAGGTGACTGTTTCCCTGATCTCTCTAAGGCTTTCGCCCCTATATTTGACTCCGTGTTTTTTTTATTTAATAAGACCATTTTAGAAATTTGTCTACAAAGACATGGAAAAAATTTCTCAGGAAGAGAGTTGATGATGAAATAAAAGGAATGTCAAAAATTAGACTACGCAAGGGATGATCAGCCAATTTTTCAGAAGAGGAACTAATGGACCATTACAGTGTCAGGGTAGTGTGGCTTCATGAAGCTGAAATCCCATAGGAATAGATACAAGAGGAATGAAGTGCTTCTCTTCTACGTGAAATGATACTTAGTGTATGAATGGACTGAGAACCAAGAAGTGACTGAGTTTTAGCAATCTGGGTATCAGTTGTAACCTAGACAAGAGTCCTGTCAATGGAGTCCAAGGAGATAATAGGCTGTTTGAAGGGAACTTGAGAAAAAGATGAAAGGCGAAGAGTGTTGAGTCAGAAAACAGTCAAATTGTTCAATATGTGTTGTTGTCTAGGTACATGACAGCTGATGGAGAAGTCAAGCTGAAGAGAGAAATTGACACTTAGGCAGAGGAGATAATAACTGCAAAGAAAATGATCCAGAGATGCTTACATCATCAGGAAATGCTTACATCATCCACAAAAGAAGAAATTTGATAGCGTATGATACCAATGCAAAGAAATTTGCCATGTTGATTGGAAAGCAGAGAGACTCACGGTCAGCTTCATTTTAGCATAAACTAAGTGGTAAGTTCATCCTCCTACGTGTAGGAAGAAGGGCGGTAGGAGGCTGAGGAAGAAATAAAAACTCTTGCTTAAGAGAGAGGAAATAAGAAAGTGTTATTAACTTTTGCAGGGAATCTTTGGGATAACTATAGCATCTCCGTATGAAGTTAAAAAATTTTTATTATGATTTGTATGAGGATTTTATTATGATTTTTCTAATGATAACAACTCTAAATCTTTTTCAAAAATGTAGAATTCTTTAAGGTTGTAAAAACATTCTTCCTCTCCCTTAGTTATTTTCTTTGAGGACTCAAAGATAGGTTTGTTAGGATTTTTTTTTTCTTTTTCTAAAGAAAGTAGAGAGAATAGAGAAAGCATTCAAATAATTGAAAGTCTTGAAGAAGGGGGTCACATGGGACAAAAATATAGAAACAGGAGTCGGGGATACTAGGGAACAACTAGCTCCTCCAACCCCTCATTTTATTAAGGTTCAGTAGACAATGTGGTTGCAGCATGCTGTGCTAACCAGACAAACAGAGATACACTTTGCTTCCAACACTGGAGGACTAATTATACCCTTCAGTCTGCTCATGTGACTCATATAAGCCAATTATTCTGGGCACTGCCGTGAGCTAACTTTGGTGCCTCTTGTAGAAGCAGAAAAATGTATTCGTGTAGGGGAAATTTTCAACAATTTGTGTTATAAAACCAGAACTTTTATTATCTGACAACAAATCAAATACATTTAGACACAAGAAAGGGCACTATAGTAAAACGTAATTAGGCGCGTGTTGGCACAGACCATCAAATTCATATATGCATGCATATTTATATGCCAAGCACTGTGCAAAACACTGGGTACACACTGAACAGTACATTAAATTTTCTGTAACAAAGTTGTGCTTTCTCACAGCTAAAACACAAATCAACTGTAAAATTTCACTGTATGAACGGAAGCAATCCATGGCATCTAAACCATGTGTGTCTACTCAAAAAGAAAGTTCAGCTAATTCCCAATAACCTGGGTCTAGATCCAGTTCATCTGAGTCTCGGTTTCTCATCTTCAAAATGACAGCCTTGTATGAGATGACCTTGAAGTCACTGTACAGTGCTAGTTTTAAATGTAATTTATTAAATATGCACATACAGTATTACATAGAGAGTAACTGGAGTCATTTGACCAGAATGATTTATAGCATTTTCTATTTTTTTTTAAGACAACCCCTTCAAGAAGAACATATTCCCATTTCTATCTCAGAGGTAAAGAAAACAGCTTCACAGAGATTGTAAGAAGTGTTGAATAGGCATTTGAGCCAGAACAAGCCCAGATTTCGTGAGTCTACATCCAAAGGGTTCTCTGCTGAATGTAATGGGACCACTTCATTTTCTGCTCCCACTGTATAGAACCATAAAGAAATAATTTATAAACCACACAACTTCTTTTGAAGCATTTTCAAAGTCTGAAAACCCAATATACATATATGACAATGATAACAAATTGAATTCCCACATTGTCTTTCTAAGGAGAAAATATTGCTTATTCTATCAGCTATAAGAACTTATTCATGCTCATAGGGGGAGAGAGAATAGAAAAGACAGCTGGAAGTGCCAATGAATGTCAATTTTTCCAGAGAATAAAGGTTCTCTAAGGAAGAAAAAAGTTAGAATGCAGAAAGTTATAACACTACCATACTGTTTGGAATATGGAGGATTTGGAATCAATAGATACCATGATGTGAAGGATGAGGAGAAAAATAAGTTGAGGGGAATCTAAGTACATTTTTACTAAAACTAGCCATAAGCCAGCCCTATTTAATTTGGAGTAATGAGCATCTTGGCTGGTTGATCCATAGACAGAGCTTACTCAAACCTGCACATAAAACTGCCCTGTTCCTATCCATCCAAGCTGCCTTCCTTGGATTGTGGAGATCACTTAATCATTGTCAAGCACAAAGGCAATGAAAATCAGACATAGCTGTACACAAAGACAGATGCCTGCCAACAGCGCTACCTGAGTAATTAGGAGAACACCTTCTCCTAAATTCCTCTTTCCAATGTTTGCTGTTACTGAAGACATCATCAACAGCGAATAAAATCCTTTGTTTTACAACAGAGGTAAAGAATTTTGTCTGCTAGGAAGAAAGGCCGACTCTGCTAGTGTGTGTATCCAGTCTCATGATATTCAAATATAGTATGTAGGACGATAGCATAATGGAGGCAAAACAACTCCCTTTCACCACTTAATTGAATGAGGCTAAAAATCTAATGACTTTCAACCTAGGTAAAAATCACAAAAGCTAGATTCTTCTATTAGTATAAGAAAAAGGTAATACAAAACTAATCAATTAAACAGTGGAGGGAAAAGGGAATTATCCTCTTGCAGAGGACCCAGGTTTGCTTCCCAGCACCCACATGGAAACTAGTAACAGTCCACAGGTCTAGTTCCAGGAGATCTGACAACCTTTGTTGCCTCAGCAGACACTAGCCATTTATGGGGTGCATATTCACACATGCAGACAAACACTTATACTCATAAAATAAAAAATAAATAAATTCATTAAACAATGTAACTTTATAATTTGCATCCTAAATACCTAAAATCCTGTGTTTGTGCTTGTATGTGTATATGTTATATATGCTTGAATTTTCACATGTTATGTCTTATTTCAATAAATTGTTGAGATATAACTAAATAGGAAGATAAAATATTCTTAGGACAATAACATATAGTCAAAGTAGAATACTACAGAGAAGCCAGACAAAGATAGAATGGTGGCAAGTTGATAAATGAGTTAATTCATAATTTGATGAAATCTAAATTCTGACTGAAAATAATTTCAAGTTTGGTACTTTCAAAAGGTAAAGATAAATGAAGAGATAAACATCTCCCAAAAATGAGAAGGAAAAGACGAAAGGCCTGTAGGAAATGGAAACTCTTGAATACTACAGTATGTAAGTGCAATTTGATGCTTTGGTAAAGGGTGTGTACAAAATTAACTACATCTGTATATACTTTGTTCATTATCGGAGATATTGGTAAGAAGGGGAAGATATGTATTAAGAAATGCTATAAAATAGTTTAATGGCTTTGTCTTAGTTAGGGTTTTATTGCTGTGAAGAGACAATGTGACCCTTAGCACCACTGTCTTCCATTCTCCTACTAGGATGGCCCACAAAGCTCCACTTAAAGCATTCAACTGCTTTTCTAATCTGAACTCCCAAAGTCCACATTCCTGCAAACAAAAACATGGTCTGGCCTCTCACAGCAATACACCACTCTTGGTACCAACTTTTGTCTTAGTTAGGGTTTTATTGCTTTAAAGAGACACCATGACATCAGTAACTCTTATAAAGGAAAATATTTAATTGTAGCTGACTTACAGTTCAGAGGTTTAGTCCATTATCATCATGGCAGGAAGCATGGTGGCATGCAGGCAGACATGGTGCTGGAGAAGGATCTAAGAGCTCTACACCTGGATCCACAGGCAACAAGAAGAGACAGTGGCCCACTAGGCCTAGCTTGAAATTTGAAACATCAAAGCCCACCCCTAGTGACACACCTCCTCCAGCAAGGCCACACCTACTGCAAGGTCATACATCTTAGTAGTGCCACTCCCTATGACGAAGCATTCAAACACATGAGTTTATAGGGTCCATTCTTATTCAAACCACCACAGGCTTTGACCTCTATAAATGCATTTATACATTCATTATTATTCATCTTTATTATAGGCTAAAAAGATTTAAATAGAATATTTACTTATTTAGACATAGTCAGTTAAGCTCCCACCTCATTATTAAAATCTGCTGTTAAAGCATTGCTGTATAACTTTCCCAATTAGTCTTCTGCAGGCTCAACATAGAAATGGGGTCACCCAAAAATTACTGGAAGTGTAAAATTATCAAGTGCTAAGGGTTATATACCAAATTGCTCTTGGCGTAATGCATTATTTTGAAGCTTAATCATAATCTTCAGGTCTGGAAGGTAATCTGTCAGTCTATAAACTGTTACCATGTTCATGATTGATTGTAAATGGGCTTAGAGAGACTTTTCTCTCTGTCTCCTCTCCCATGACACCCACGTTACAGTCTTCAAATTTAAGTGGATTCATGGAAATTGTCCTGGTAACTGCCAAGAGTGAAGTCCTTCCTTCAGGACTGGAGTGCCAAATGGAGTGGTCTGGAGTATTCTTTTTCTCCTTTTCCTGGGAAAGGGCATTTCCTCTCCGTGTAGGGTTTTATGTAACTATGCACATTGTATATGCTATGTAAATAGATGTATACTATGTTTAAATCTGTAATGTTTAAGACAAACTTATTTTTAAAAATTACCAATTTTTAACTTAATCAGCTTGTTAAAACAATATCCCTTTTAAGGAACCAGTGAGATGGTATGTTTGCCACCCAAGTTTGTGACCTGAGATTAATCTCTGTGTCAAACTGATTCCCTCAAGTTGACCTCTGACTTCCATATGCATGTCATGGTGCACACACACACACACACACACACACAATCAATCAATCAATGAATCAATCAATCAATCAATGACAAAATATATTTAAGCTATCCCTGTGAACATCTGTTTCATTGATTGTCAAGGCACTAGTGGCTATTGTCATTCTTCTGTTTTCTTTAACAATCTCCTCATGTATTATTTGAAATACACTATGGTATCTTCATATTTTGTCCATGGTAGTTTGTATAAGAGCAGATGCCTCATGTCCATGTCAACAAACTTCATAGAGTAAAAGTAAAATAGCACTTTGAAGTAGAAGAACACAAGTTACCAGTTGACATTCCCTGGATTATATGTGGTCTTTTCATGCATTGGCATCAAACTTTAGAGAAATTTTTAGTAGTGTGAGCCAATCCTCAAGAATTAAGTGACTTTGAAAAATACGAACAGAGATTCTAGTACTTTCTTAGAAAACAAGAGAATGTGGCAGTAAGCAATCTCTTTCCCCCACAGCAACTTTTGACTAGAACTAAATATGTGTACCAAGCCTATTTTATTTGTAAACATTGTTTGGATACCACAGGAGTTTGCATTTGTGAAGATACCCTTTAAAAAGTATAGGTAATAGAATCTATGTGATGTGTTTGAAAGGCATTCTATATATAGGTCATACTGAGTTCTCTTCCAAGCTCTTTACCAGCATTTTTAAATCTATGAAATTATATGGAGTTTGACATAGCCTATAGATTAATATTAGATTAAAACTTCAGGACATGTCAATTTGTTTCTTATTAGGAAGTTGCATTAAAATTTTAGTGGCATACATTTTTTTTTGAAGCATGAATTTCTCTCCAATTCAGAAGTTGTCTTTGAATAAAGCTTAGTTAAGTTTATTTTCTAAACTACAAGTGTTATTTTATGTATCCAAGGATACTTAATTTAAAATAAGACATTCATTTGAAATGGATTTTCATGAAAACTGAGGGAAACTGTGTTACCCAAAATACTTACTTCCTATATTCATCCTATGATTTGTAACATCTGCTCTTTAAGTGGACATAAAACATTTTTCCTTCCTTTCTCCTTCCTTTTTAGGTACGTCTCAGCCATCTGGTCAAACATGTCAAAAAAATGTGAAAGATTTTGAAAAGGACATAAAGGGACACACTTCAGAGGCTGTGTTTCATCAGACTGGGGCATTAGGGAAATTGAAGGAAAATGGAGATGAGTGTGTATCTACTTCTATAAATGGAAAACAGAATTCCTCTTTTCTCCCCAAAGATGAGAAACAACCTCCATCTGACAGCAAAATACACAAGAGGATGGAGAATGATGACCCTCCTTCGGCCATCTCTTATCCACTAGAAGAAGTCTTACCAGTGGCCATGTTTAATGACTGTGAAAAATCATTATCGGGGAAAATTACAACACTGGATTTCCCAAACACAGTTGAAGCCTTAAAGCCAACAAAAGGCAAATTTATTACAGAAGTCAAATGTGGAGCTTTCAATGTACAAGTGGAAACCACGAAAAGTGTTTTGTATAAAACAGGAGCTCAGTTTCCAATGAAAAAGCGATGTCCAACATGTCACCAGCATTATTCTGTCCAGCAAGCACAGAGAGGCTCCCCAGCTCGGGGCCACTTCCCTAAATATAGATCTGTATTAGCACAAGAGTTCAAGCACAAGGTACCACCTGCATGCAAAGGAGAGCTTTCTAGAAGTGAGATCCCTTCAATAAACATAAACATTGCAGGAAAAGAAATAATGGTTGAATATGCAAGTAAAAAACAGAACATATCCATCCATGTATCTCATCCTAAAAGCATAGGAAAATCGACAAAACCTAGAAAAAGTTACTTGAATCAAACCACGAAAGAACCTTGTCAGTCTCCTTCACAGCCTGCCATAAATCTCCCTGAAAACTGGAGCCTTGAAAACCAGAACCAGGGTTCACATGGTTTGCATGACGTTCCCTGTAGTGTGAATATTGTCCAGAAAGAGGATTCAGACAAAATTGTGGTTTCTCTAAGCTCACCTCTCAGGAGGGAGGAAAAGAAACCCAACACACTGCCTTCTGCCTCAGATGGTTCAGAAGAGAAAGATTCTGCCACATCTCAGCAGAAGGTCCTTGAAATTATTCAAGACAATCCCCAAAAGCAACATTTCTTCACAGCTGACTCTTGTCTTCCTACCTCATCTGAAACCTTAAGGACCACAAGTTTAAATAATATGGATTTAAATAAAATGTCTTTTGAGGATTCTAGGGATGTGGATAAAGAGAGAAAAAGCAGCTCTCATGTCAAGGAAAATATCACCTCGGATTCTCAAGTACGGCCATGCACAGCAGGAACAAATGGTCCCCTAAGTACTATGGGTGGTGTAATTCCCATCCAGGATGCCTCAGACTCTGAATTTTGTCCTTTGTCTTTTCTAACCATGCAACTCTTGGGAGAAAAATCAGGCAACACCAGCTGCAGAGGCGACAGAACTCTAACAGCAGAAGAATGTGACAAGTCAAGTTCTTCTTTCCCTGTCAGTGAACATGTTCTGAAGCCTTCTCCTTTGCTCAGTCCATCTCACCAGGGCACAAGACATTCAGAGCTTGTAGAGACTCCTGAGAACGCATTTTCCTTTAGCCAATATATTGGGGTTGAGACAGAGCAGGAGAAAGTACATGGTGATGTGACTTACAGAGACATTAATGAGGCTGTGTCACACAGTGACTCTTCTGCAAACGCACAGCTATTGGAAAGCAAGAGCACACAGACTCCAACTGTGGGGCTTGCACCCTGCAGTAGCCTAGCTTCGAAGAGCCCACTTCATGGCGATATACACAGCTCTGTGGGATGGGATCAAACAGAGGACCCTGCAAATCATGTAGAGACAGAAGCGCCAGACCTGGCCTCCATAACTGATGAGTTCGAGCAGAGAGTTGCCACTCAAAATTGCAGCGAAGACACAGTTGATTCTAACTGCCCCACGGCAATAAGAAACCCTAGAGAGGCAACAGGCTATCAGGAAAATGTCGAAATACCAGTGGTGAACAGTATGTGCCACGGAGATTTTGAAGACCTACCTGGTGAGAATCAGAATGAAATCTGTTCTCAAATGGACTTTCCACCAGACTCCGCTGGGTCTGCCTGTACAGGACATGCTACAGAAAAGCTGTTTCTTATGGATAAGACGCTAACCGGTGACACAGATCCAAATAGTAGTAAAGGTGACAAAAGTCTTGGACTGAACGACTTCGAACAGGAACCAGCAGAGTGCCAAAGGACTGTATCAAGGGGACACCCTGAAGAAAGTGAGAACAAAAGTGACCCCACAGAAACTCCCTGTCACCCGGTGGACATATTGCTGTCGCCACAGAGCCAGAAGGCTCTGAAAGGTACAGTGGGTTAAACAGAGTTTTAAGCTTTGCATTATCGTTATGTGTGTGAGCCTTGAACAGTCTTGGGTGAAGTACTTTTGACTGCTTGGGATTTTCTTCTCCTTATTGGCAAGACGTGTTGAGTATTTCAGACTTAGACAAAAATGAACAAGACGCTATCTATCAGCCTGTCTCTTTGCATTAGAACCAACTCTACCCATAAGTAGTATGTAGAAAAATCGCCATAGCTGCAGCTTTAGTATAAAATAAAATTTTTCTCTTTAAAAGATCCATATATTGGCAAATCAGTTTTGTTGAAAACATTAGCCTGTGCCACTCATAAATAATCTACTATTTCTTCTAATCTTGCAAGGTAAGCATGTTTAAAAGAATAGGAAAAGTATGCTTGTAATAAAATGTGTTCTCAAACCTTGCTTGCTGTAAGGTTGCATGGGCAGGGTCATTCATGTCTCTAGGCCATGTGGAATAGTCATTAAAGCCAAGGACAAAAAACAGAGACACCCCTTAACTAATCCTGACTGAACCATCCGTAGGACCTTTAACTCCCACAATCCTCTGACCTCCGTTTTGTGTTGCCTGGTCTTACTCAAACAACTGATAGAACCCAGGCACTCTTGAGATCTCAAGAAGGGCTAAGGTGGAAGCTCTTTCCGAAGTACATAATGCTGTCTGTCTGGTTTCAATCCTGGCACCGCAAAACATCGTTCTGGTCACTTCATAAAAGGTCTTTGTGTTTCTCAATGAGTCCAAATTATCTGATACTTCATGTTAGCATTATTCCATAGTATAAATTAAAATACATCTTGACTAAGTAAAAGCTGCCTCCAGCATTGCAGATAGTATACCGAATATGCTCAGAAATGAGACTGAGAATGAAGAAACTTCTCCCTAAGGTTTTAATGGAAAAATTTTAAAGCAGGAGCAAAATTAATTACTCAAAAGTTTTTTGAAATTTTTGGAGTAGAACTATAACACAAGAAGCATAATCTATTACATAAGTGCTGCCATAAAATGTGAAATTTGATGCATGGAAAATTAATCCTCTAAAAAATTATATAAACTATACAATACCCCTCTTTGTATGAAAACCCTAATTGAAAATCTGCTCATCCCAGTGACTGCTTGCTAGGACCCACGCAGCTCCAGATACCAGGCCAGTCACATAAATTCCAAGATTTGTGTCAATACATAGTGTTTTAGAACTGCAAGGGAACCTATAGTACAAGCACTAATGCCTCCTGCGGGGGATAAATGCTCATCTGGATGAATGTCCCCCACAAGCTGCTTTTCCCATCCCCAGAAGTATGTTGCACCCCGTACTGCCTCTCCCAACACTGTATACAATTAAAAATCCAAATAAGAATCCAACCACAGATGAGATTACTCTCAATAACCTGAAATTGTCCTCACTTGGAAAACAACTGCAACCACTGTTCCCTGCCTTTCTGCAGCTCATCAAAAGTCTGTCCTACAACTTTTTGCTTCTTTTCCCCTGGAAAAATCAGTTCCAGGCACTTTTGACCTGTGTGAACTTCTAGACCCTTGCCCCACCATGCTTCTTCAGGCCCTTCACATGGGCTGCTTCTACTATTTGGACCAGTCTTTCTCCATATCTCAGCAGGGTCATTCTTAGCTTGTCTCTTTATGTTATCTTCAGCACGTAGTAATCACAGCAAGAATGTCTCAGAAACCAAATTTAAAACTCTGAGTTGTCCTTGTTCCAGCCCAAGTTCATCGTTTTTCCACATTTTACTCTCATGTATAACATTTTTTCTTTCAATGTTACATATTTCACTTGTTTATTTATGTTCTCTTTCTTTGCTAAAATGTAGATTTCGTGAAGGTTTATTTTTCTTCTCTGATAATTTATGTTTCTACAGCATTATATATTACCTGCCCTTCAGTATAAAGACTCAATGAGTATTTGTTGATCAAATGCAGGGAAGTCATACCAGGTTGCTCTGTGAAATGTCTTGTTCGCATACCCATGTACTTATATACAGAAAACAGTTCAGCAATTAAAATAGTTACAGATACTGTATTTAAATTTATAAATGTCTTCATGATTTTGATTTTCTTAGAACTAGGAATACTTTTATAATTTATCAACATTATTGTCTTTTCATCTCAGGCCAAGATTGCTCAAAATTTCAGGGTATGAAATGCTTTGAAAGACTTAGGTTGTTTCACCTGAAGTGAAAAAAAAGTCTTTGTAAGCACAAACTGGCATTTGCATTTTGCAAGTGATCCTTCCCCACTCAAAGTCTGTCAATGAACATGAAATTATGAAACTTTGCCCTAAGACTGAGTGTGTCTAGAAGTAAGAGAGTTAGGACAATGTAAAGGGAAGGGTATAAGCCTTACCCCTTTAAGAATAAAATACTAAGTTCTTTACCAGGTAAGTCTTAGTGTTCTTGGGGTAGAATTTCTTCAGCTAAAAATTATCTGAAATATATGTATAAGATCTATGCCAATGAACCAGAAAGTCTACATCATAAAAACATTAATGATAAAATTAAAACCAGGTCAACCTGAGAAAACTGCAGACAATGAGAATTCAGTGATGTTTTATATGCTATAGACGCATTCACAGTGATTTATATGTAATGACACAAAATTATATACAGTATATACAATAGTTTAGTTTCCCATAGCTCTAAAAAAAGTGAGTGATTCTAAGAGACCAAGTAAAAACTAGAGATTTGAGAAAGGTTGAGATCCAAGCTATGAACCAATAGCTGGGAATGGAAAGATGAACAAGAAGACATCCATTCTCTTGTACAAAGCAACAACTACTGAGATAGCTTCCAACAACGTGACTTATGGTGAAGCCAGGACTTCCTATGCATGTGATTATTAACATGTCTGCTGATATGCACAGGCCCATCCTGTCCCAGTTTCCACTGAAACTCTGTGCTTTCCTCCAGAGGTGCTTCTCCAGATCTGCATCTTTTCTCCTCCTTCATTTCCTGGATCCCCATACTCTTAAGGGGACCACTTTCACACCCATTCTTAGGGTCCCCATGCAGTCACACAACTCTTCATCAAAATAACAGTAATGAGATCATTTTGAAAGAACAAGCAGGTGAAGGCTGGAGAAGTCTGAGTCAAGGAATTGGGTTTAATACAGTGGTGCGCCTTCTCCCTACTACTAAGATGTTGACTCCTGCTGTGTATGCTGTGTAAGATGGAAGGGCAAAGTGGCCCAGCTAGTCTTCTTCAAGAATTATAAGGGACATTATCCTATTCATGAGAATAAAGCAGGCAAGATTTTGTTTCTTGCTAAAGTCTCCACTTCTCAATATGATTACATTAGGTCTTGCTTTCCAGAATACGAATTTCCAAGGGACACATACGTTCAAACTTGAACATTTGTTAAAACCTCTGTGTTTCATGAATTAATACATTGTTCTACTAAAATGAGAGTAGATATTTTGACAAAGGTCCTCCAGAAACTGTTTGTTTGTTTGTTTGTTTGTTGTTTTTTGAGACAGGGTTTCTGTTTCTCTGTGTAGTTTTGGTGCCTGTCCTGGATCTCACTCTATAGACCAGCCTGGTCTCGAACTCACAGAGATCCCCCCTGACTCTGCCTCCTGAGTGCTGGGATTAAAGGCTTGCACCACCACTGCCAGCCTCCAGGAACTTTCTTTGTCTGCATCCCAGCTCCAGCACATCGCCTGATTCAGAGAAAAGCTCAATGGCATATCCTGGATAATCATGGAATGGAGAGAGGCTCACATGTGAATAGAGATTATTGTGACCTAGATTAAAAACACCATGCCAAAACTATCTATCGAGTCAGGGTATATTAGGATTGCCAGTAGTACATTTAAATCTCAGAAGGTATTTTATATTTAAACCCAGATTAAATGACAGCTCTGCACAACATTAGTACAAGTGATTTAATTATTGTCCTGGTTTTTTTGCTCCCCTATTGCTGCAGTAAGTACTGACTAAAACCAATTTGGGCTGTAAATGGTTTGCGTGGCTTATATGTTATAGGCAGTCACTGAGGAAATCAGGGCAGGGACTCAAGACACACCTGGATGCATCAACTTAGGCGGAGATGGTGGAGGAACCCTGCTTACTGGCTTGTTCTCATGGCTTTCTCAGTTTCCCTCTTAACAACCCAGGACCAACTAGGGGTCGTACTGCCTACAGGGGTATGAGCTCTCCCACATCAATCATTAATCAAGAAAACACACCACAGACATACTGCAGTCCAGTCTAATGGAGGCAATGTCTCAGGTGATGTCCCCTCTTCCCATGTGACTCTAGTTGGTGTACAGTGAAGTTGGGCCAGATTTCCTCTGTGTTTTTTCCAAATCTAAGAACACCAACACTGAGCAACAGAACAGGTGTAAAGCTTTATAAATGGTGGAATTCAGTACTTCCTTACATATATATATATATATATATATATATATATATATATATATATCAAAGCATATGTAGTCAAATTCTACCAATTTGAATATTCAAGAAGATTCTAAAGGGAAACAAACACAAAATTATAAAAACTCATTTTTCCTAGGAGCAGAATAAATAAAAAGTCAAGTTTTCAAGTCTATGTTGCTTCCCTTTTGTATAGTATCAAAAACTAAAATTTTAAACCACTCTAAACAATGAAATTACTTTCTAGATTTTGTGTTTTATGTTTATGTACTTCAGGTTTTTTAAAATTTTTTTGTTTAATTGCATTGTGATATTTTACTGGTAATATTGTTCACCTAATTATTTAATTACTTTGTTTGCAATGACAGAAAGCAACATTTTGGGATGATATAAACCTATGTCATAATTTATATATATCTGTGTCTCTGTTGTCTCTCTCCAACTTAGCAAGTGGACCATGGAGGATCTGAATGACTTTTTTTTTCTCTCTCTGCACCTCAAAGACTATTTCATGTCCTATCTTGGAGTGGTGTCTCACTTTGATATTTAACATATTTTAATCCAGACCAGAATTTGGAAAACAATAACCCCCGCAAGCTATCGCAGGAATTGGCTCGAAGAGGTGAAAGAGCCAGTGACGGTTCCCAGGAAGAAGCCATAGACCAGTGGGCCAGAAGGAGGCAGCAGTTCAGGGACGGCAAGAGATGCAGCTCAGCTGGGGGCAGCTCTGTCATCAGCAACTTCACTGAAGGCTCCGGTGAGTAGCACCCTGTGTTCCTAAGCAACCGCCAAGGCAGCAGCTCACTGTCTTAATTAAATTCCTTTCCCTTCATCTCTAGGACATACATTCTGATTGTTTGAACATGGCGATGTGGCGGTTATATGGTTTTTATTTATGAACGATACTTCTTCAAATAATCAACTCTTCATTACACATTAAGGAATTTCTACTTGGTAAATGGCTTTCAGAAGACACACCCACAGCAGCCTGCTGAGGATTCCTTTCTCCTTAAACACTAAAATAACTAGCTATGGGGCTGTTTATAGAGTTAAATTTGTGCTTTACTTTAAAAAAAATCTACATTTGTATATGAAATATACATAACATGAAATGATAAGATCAATATTGTTGATTATAAGTGAAAAATGTCTTCTCGTTTTAACATTTCGTAATTGAAATGTCTTCTAACAGATCTGTATTTTCGTGAGATAGACTTTCTTCAGGCTGTAGTGTGTTACAGAAGCAGCATTGTACCTCAGCCTCACAAACAATGGCAGCTGAGAATGGACGATAAGCTATTACTGATGAAAACTGACTAGAGTAAAACTTGAATTAATACATGGGGTGGGGGTTAGTACATTTTGTAGCTACTACAACTAATATGGATCTGAGATTGCAACCGTCAATATTAAAGGAGGCTTGGCTAACTACTAGGTATGTGCTACTTGCAAATTATTTACAAAAGCAAAGTGCTTTTGAGAAAACAAAATTCGTACCAAAATCTCAGGGAACTATGATTGATTTTTTTTTAAAGGAAGAAAATAAAAAGGTGCATTGTTGTGCTGCAGCAAACGTTGTTATGAAAAGACAGTAGTGGGAATAGTGGGTTGTGCCCTGTAGAGAAGCGGATGGAATGACCCACATGTCAGCATAGGTAGCTGTCATTCATTTCCCAGAACGAAACAGAAGCCTGACAAAGTCTAAGGGTTGAAAGAAGCCATACACCTGTGGGAAAAGATTATAAGTAGTGTAAAAAATCAAATACTATGTTATTTCCAGCACAAAACTTCATATTCATGTGATCACAAAGGACGAACTTTTAGATGTTTTATTTTGTGGTGAGAGTTTGTATTCTTGTCCTTTGACCTGTGCCTAATTCTCCAGGTCTTTCTTTGTGTTGGGCAGGAAGGAACTAAAATTAGAATTGTAGCATTTATACTCTGCATATACTGCTGTGTTTGAACCTTCTAATTTCCGTTATTGTTCGTATACACTTGAAAGACCTACCCGAGAATGCACATCCCTTATTAGACTCCCAAAGCTCTGATCCTAACACATCACTAATTCGTTCTAATATTTATTTTCTAAATATTATTTTTATTTTCCACCTTCTGTTCCACTTTTACTTTATCAACTGTTTTATTTACATTTTATACAATCTTAAACACGTTTTAAAAAATATATTGTTAATGCTTAATATGTTTCAAAGCTCTCCCTCATCACTGGTTTTTTGTTTTGGTTTTTTTTTTTTTATTTCTAACAGGATTTATTAGTTTTCTTTCTTTAGTAAAAGCCTAATAACTTTTTCAGGAAAAGTCATGTAGAAAGAAAAATTGATTTATTATATATCTTAAGGTGTTATTGCCCTCTTAATTTTTAGTGACAATTTGGTATAGAATTCTAGATTCAAAGCATGGAAGAAACTGGGTCATTGCCCTATTAACAGTGGTGCTAGTGAGAAATTTCAGTTCAATATGATTTTCATGACTTCCATCATTAATCCAGTTTTGTTTCGGGTAAATTAAGGATTTTTCTCTTCATCCTTATTATTTTATTTAACTTCTCTTATGAATTTCAGAACACGAATTTTAAATACATTTTCATGTTTGGCCCCATGAGCTCATTCATATTTCCTCACTCATAACTGTCTTTAACTTATAGATTCTCAGCTATTAGTTTTTCCACTTTCTTCCCTTGGTCTTCTTGTCTGTGTCCTACTGGCATTATTTTGTGTGGACGGTTAAACTTTTGGATTCATTCGCTGCACATATTAACACCTTTCTACAATGTTTTTCCTCATCTGTCCTTGCCACAGTCCCTGACAGTCCCAATGTTCTGTTACCTTAGCAATTCAGCCCACATTTAAGTCCTCCTTAATAGGTTGCTGGCCTATTGTTATAAAATGTTTGTCTCCTTTTTCACAGCTCGATTTTTTTTTTTTTTAATTATTTCATGGGCCGGTTAGTCTTCTGAGACAGGGTCTCTCTGTGTATACCAGACTGGCCTAGAACTCGCAGCGATCCTCCTGCCACAACTCTAATTTCAATTTTTATAGACTAACTGCTTTTTGGATGATTCTCATTTTTATGCCTTTGAGAATATTAACTGATTTGTATGAAGTTTTAAGCTGATTATTGGTAAACTACTAAACTACTTCTGCTAAGCACATTTCACATTGGCTGTGTTTCTTTTGTCTTTCTTTGGGTTTCAGTTGGGTATTTTAGTGGTGGTATTGTGTTCCCCAAATATTGTGCACCCTAATAAACTTATCTGGGGTCAGAGACAGAACAGCCACTAGATACAAAGGCTAGAAAATGGTAGCACTCACGCCTTTAATCCTAGCATTCCAGAGGAGAAATCCCTCTGGATTTCTGTGAGTTCAAGGCCACACTGGAAACAGCCAGGTACGGTGGTGACACATGTCTTTAATTCCAAGAAGTGAGCCTTTAATCCCAGGGAGTGATGGCAGAAAGGAAATATATATAAGGTGTGAAGACCAAGAACTAGAAGCATTTGGCTGATTAAGCATTTGGCTGATTAAGCTTTTAGGTTTTGAGCAGCACAGTTTAGCTGAGAGCCATTGGGATGAGGACACAGAAGCTTCCAGTCTGAGGAAACAAGACCAGCTGAGAAGTTGGCCAGGTGAGGTTAGCTGTGGCTTGTTCTGTCTCTGTGATCTTCCAGTGTTTACCCCAATACCTGGCCCGGATTTGTTTTATTAGTAAAGACTCTTTAAGATTCATGCTACAATTAATTATTTGGCTCATTCCGTGTCTGCCTCCAATTGGCAAACTATTTGGGCAGGTAGTGAAACATCCTGGATTGATTCTGCTTTATCCACAACAATGATTCTTCTGTTGCAGTGACTGGCTTAGCTCTGATCCAGGAGATGCTATATCCCATCCAGTGTCTCTTGTCCTCAATATCAACCATTTTGCATTTCCAGCTTAGGGGTTATTGCTGCTGCTTGTATCATGGTGAACTTTAAAGTGGGGATAGTGTAAGCATAAAATTACCTTGCAGTTTCTGATGATACCCCAATTATCTCTGCCTTGTTTGTATCTTGGGTCTCTCTTGTCTTTTCACACTTTGAACATTCTTGGTGATATTCTTATAATCCTGTATCAGAACTCTCAAATATATTCTATGCTGTGGTTTCACATCATGGTTTATGTGTTACATCTGAGTTTCAGGTGATACATAGCTCATGGCATAATGTGAATTCTTTTCCTTTTAATAAACTCATCTATACATCTTATCACACGCACACACACACACACACACACACACACACACACACACACTGAGTGAGGAGAGAGAGGGCAGATTATCCCCTCTCTAATATTTATCTGGACTTTGAAACACCTCAGTCTTTTGTGATGCATCAAGTTCAGATGCAAATCCTGCTTCTAAATATATAGAAATGAACATACCAGTGTGTCTAATATAAACCCTGCAGAAATTAGGACATAATTTCATTCATGTTTTATAATGTTTCTATCAAAATGAGAGGCTATAGTCTGTGCTTATTTCGATCTCTGAAAATGTCTTTCGTTTGCCCCTCTGGATTCCCTTTCTACCCTTCTACTCCTTTAGTCTAGCACAAGAGTCTCTCCTCTTTGGCCTATGTCAAGGGGCTCTCTGGATTTTTATTAGGTTTGGTTGGTAGTAATATCAAGAGACTGCTGATGGGAACAAGGTCTAAATAATATTGCTCCTGGTCCTTCTGTGTGGGAAGCCAAGGGCTGACTGTGTCTCTGGGCACAGTCCCACACAGTGACCCACGCCATACTGCTTTCTATGATGCAAAGTTTTTGGGACTGATGGCACCCACTTCCTTTTGTCCTTAGATAAGCTATTCTCAGTTAGAATCTAGCATACTTTGTTTTCTTAAAGTCTGTCCAAACTGTGTTACTAGTGTCCTTATTAATTATCTTCAAGTTACCCATTAGAGGAAACCATTTTTTTGTGTGTCATAATCCTATAGTGTACCAGCACTTTCCCTCCTGATGCTGTTGTGAGTCACCTGTGAGTAAGCCAGCCCTGGGTTATTATGTCTATAAGAAAAAGGAATTTCCCCTCTCAACATAGCTTTTATAGTTACTCAGAAGTAGAAGAAAAAAGTTGAAAATTATTGAAATTTGAAATTTGATTTAAGATTTTTCAGTGTGAGATCTTGGTTATAATGGGGAAGAGTTATGTTCTAACATTTTAGAAGCAACAGAAATGCCAGTGTAAGGATTTTAAAGGTAAAAAAAGTCTAAAGGAATATATTGTCTGCTGTTGGTTTCTCTTGAGGAATTGTTAGGCTGTTTTAGTTTATTTAGTTTTGTTGGTTTGGTTTTTGTTAGTTTGTTCTATGTTTTTTTTTATTTTTTGATTATTTCTCTTATTTTTGAGATTATAATATAATAACATCATTTCCCTCTTTACTATTGCTCCCTCCAAACCCACTGATCCTTGCTTTCTTTCAAATGCATGGCTTCTTTTTTTCCTTGATTGTTGTTACATGCGTATTTGCCTATTTCTACTCATGTATATTCTTCCTATACAACTTGCTTACACTATGTTAATGTTATTTCTGTGTATGTTTTCAGGACTGGCTGTTTGTAATGGAATGATCAATTGGTGTGCTCTTCCCCATTCAGTATTATTTTAGTTGTCTGTCATTCTTTGTGAAGGGTTGAGTCCTCCTGGGCTTCCCTCCATCCACTATAGCATGTCTGTTGCTGTTGTCTTCAGCTCATGTTTAGGCA